GAAAAGAAGCAACTAATAGGACGTGGTTTGCTACCATGGAATGTAAACTCGGTTCCAGGAGCCCAATAGTCAATGATGGAAGCTCAGGGAACAAGGCATAAGCGAAAACGGTATAGGTAATAACATCTTTTTAAAGATGATGCGAACCCAGCTGCCAGGAAAGAACCGCCGATGGTCAACACAAAAGAATTGCACTCAAAGGTTAAATTGCTCGCTTTATGTTGTCCCCTGGCTTTCAGTGCAGGAAGTGAGTGGGCGACGCCGATAAAAAGAGTACATGGTCATAAAAACAACAGCCAATCTATATCAGACCTGTTACGGCAAGGCCCCTCCAACAGCTATAAGACTGGACAAAAAATCGTGTAACAGAAAAGAAAACACTTGTGCACCAGCAGAGAGGTCGATGCCGAAAGAAAGCCGGTGTGGTAAAGGCGCTACTTGTAGGGTTACAATGTCAAAGGGCAAGATATGACCAATTTCTAGTGGAGAACAAATAGATCTGACAAGGCGCAGCTAAGCGGAACACCCATTCCTGAAGGCTGGAGCCAAAGAGGCACAAGAAAGCTTATTGAAAAGTCAGAAAAATTAAATAAAATCCATACATCAAAACATTTAGAAAACAACCGGACTGAGAGCGAAATCCATACGTCTGGCAGTAAAATTTTGTGTGAACAATCAGATTGCTGGGACTTTAGTCCCATTACAGAAATAGGACCCCGTGCAAGCCCGACAATGTGTGCTGCCGCGGTAAAAGGGTGAATCTTGTAGCTTCTCTGCAGATGTAGGTGTGGTCGGGTTTTGCCGCCAAGAGCACTTCCTTGACCGTGACGTGCCGCGACAGCCAGAATTCCACCCTGGCGGCGTCTACCCTGTTGGGCATGGGATACACAGATGTAGCGGTTCTGTCCGGCGGCATGAACGCCTGGCGAGGGTCTGGCCTGACCGTAGAAACGTGTCTATCCGGCGTGATGAGCCCACCCACCGACCTGGTAGCCAGCGGGCCTGACCGGAATTACGCTGATATGATGAATTACCTGCGCTGGGAAACGGCTCTGGGCGAGAAATACGCAAGCTAGAAAGGGCGTGTCGTAAAATCAATCTGCCAGCCTAGGACGGCCCTCAGACAAGGAACATCCATGACCACATATATTGCCCAGCGATACGCCAATCAAAGCCAGCGCTTTATCCAGCAGGCTCACTACGAACTGGAGCAAAAGGGCGATCGCTTGCAGGCGTCTGAAAAGGCTTCCGGCGCTGGCGCCCAAGCTGTGAAGGCTATCGCGTCCGACAGGGGGTGGAGGCACCACTCTCATTCCCTGCGAAGGGAAATAGTAGATTTGCTGGCCGCCGAGTTTGGTCGCGTCGAATTGAGGGCTTTGCAGTCAACGGCCGACCAGCTACACGTCAATTACTACTAGAATACCCTTCATGAGTGGCAGGTGGCAGACAGGCTGGCAGAAGTCTCCCAATTGCTTCAGTCCTTGTGGGAGATAAGGGAACAGGGTGCCAACCCGGATTATGTGCCGACAATTGATCAGCAGAGGACTATAGAACGGTTGAGACTGTCTGAGGAAGAGGCTGCCGCTATACCATTGATAGACTACCCGCCCCCGCTGCCGCCCTTCGACCCTGAGACTGCCTAGCTTTATTGAAAAGGTATTTAGTTGGTTTGTTCAACCCGGTAACGGGTTCCAGCCTTATGAGGTAACCTATGCCCATTATTGAACACAACACGGTTAGGATGTCGGCTCCGGAGGACTACCGGGCTGAGCGCACCTTTGTTTCGCGTGAGCAGGGGGCCGCATCGCTGACGGTCAAGGAAGTGGAACTGCACCCCGGGTGGGAAGGCAGGTTGCATACTCACCCCACCGACATCGCCATTATGGTGTCGGCCGGGGCAGTGCAGTTGATTATCGACGATGAACTGCGTACGGTGAGAGCGGGTTGCACTCTTTTTGCACCACCGGGCGTGCCGCACAAGCTGGTCAACAAGCTGTGGATTCCGGTCCGGTTGCTGGTGACCTACCCTACTACTGACCTGGAGACGGACTACCTGGAGTAGTTGATTAAATTATCGTCGTCTTGCCGTCCTTGTGCGAACGAATCGAGGCCGGTGACAAGGAAGACTTCCCAAGCTAACCCAAGCCAACTACAGGAGGCCTAAAATGGCAACCCAGAATCTGCGCACCGAAATCAAGCCCGAGTTGATTCCCACCAACGCCGGATTTCGTACTTGGGCAGCCCCGCCGGAGGCACTGAAGCAGGAAGTGGTCCCCAACGACCTCTTTTATGTTCGCAACCACTGGACGGATGCGCCGGAGATTGACATAAACACCTACCGGCTGGTGGTTGACGGCGATGTGGACTGTCCACTAAGCCTTTCTTTTGACAATATTCTGGCAATGCCCCAGCAGCGCTTCCAGGTTACTTTCGAATGTTGCGGCAACAGTCCGGTCCCTGACTATTGGGCCAGGTCCACTCGGACCGGTTCGGTAATGGAGATGATCAAGGGCCACGGCATTATGGGCAATGCCGAGTGGGCCGGAGTATCTCTGGCTGACGTTCTGGCCAAGGCTGGCGTCAAGGCCTCTGCAGTGGAGGTAATGTTTGAGGGAGCGGACCACGGACCCGATGAAACCGTGGGCGATCCCCCTGAAGTGACCTACGAACGCAGCTTGCCCCTGGCCAAGGCCATACACCCCGATACAATGCTGGCCTACGAAATGAACGGTGAGCGGCTGCCACTGAATCACGGATTCCCCCTGCGCCTGCTGGTGCCGGGCTGGTATGGAATGACATCGGTCAAGTGGCTGGTGGGCATACACGTCCTGGATCACGAATTCAAGGGCTTCTACCAGACGGAACGGTACATGACCCAGAACGGCCCGGACAGCCCTGAGTACTATACCTACCACACCAAGATGAAGGTGAAGTCCATCATCACCAATCCGGCGCCCGGTGAAGTCATTCCCGCCGGCGGCTACACCCTGGCCGGTGCAGCCTGGTCGGGCGAGGAAGAAGTGGTAAAGGTGGAAATCAGCACCGACGGCGGCGCCACTTGGGATCCGGCAACCCTGGCTCCCCGCGCAAGTTCCTACGCCTGGTTCCGCTGGCAGTACCAGTGGCAACCGGCCGGGCCCGGCAAATATACCCTGATGTCCCGCGCCACCAATAACCGGGGTGAGACCCAGCCGATGGAGTTTCCCAACCAGTGGGACGGCCGGGGCTACGGCAACAACATGGTCTTCCCGGTGGATGTGCAGGTCAAGTAGTCCCTAAGGGCCCCGGACATTGGAAACAACGGGGGTATGTCATGCTAAAGGCACAGCGCGATAGCGTCATCAGCGGATTGAGCGGTGACGACCGTCAAAATCTTCGGCGTATTGTTGTAGCCATTAAGGAAGCCAGGGGAGGCAGCCCAGACCTGGCTAACGACGGAGGCCGGATAACAGCCCGTGAACTGTTGGCTGGCTGGCACGAAGAACTTCCTGGCGAGGTCCGCACGGCGCTGGAAGCAATCCTGGTCAGGGACGAAACGGGCCCCAAAGTTGGAGAGTTGGCCCCCAATTTCTTCCTCAAACGGCTGGGTTCGGAAGACCGGGTGGCTCTCTCGGATTTCCAGGGGCACCGGCCCGTGGCTCTGGCCTTCGGCAGCTACACTTGACCGCCCTTTCGCGCCCAGTCTGAGCGCATGACCCAGATTTACCAGCAGTACAAAGGCCAGGTGGAGTTCTTCGTGGTTTACGTTCAGGAAGCCCACCCCACTGACGGCTGGCAGACCGACAGCAACATTCAGGAGGGTGTCCTTTTCCGCCAGCACCAGAGCTACGAAGAACGAGAGGAAGTAGCCCAGAGTTGCAGCTTAGACCTGCATATTGGGTTGCCTATCCTAATTGAAGAAATCGACAATGCCATAGATGAGGCCTACGGAGCGGCGCCCGAACGTCTCTATCTGGTCGGGAAAGACGGCAAAGTAGCCTACCACGGCGGCGCCGGACCCCATTTCTTTGATCTAGATGAATGGAAGCAGGCGATTGAGGCTTGCGTTGAGGTTGAGGCCAATCCCTAGCTGCCCGCCAGCAGGGCTGTTGCCTGGAAATGTAGGTCTCCGATTGGGTAGGGTCCGTTGGTGGGAAGCAGGTGCAGATTCTCAAAGCATCGAAAAAGGGTGAGGGACTGCAATTGGTCAGAAATGAGAGTGATGAAAAGGGACGGGAGGATATTCCGACCGGCAGCGCCTTAGACCGGCGGGAGTTTCTCCGACGGCTGGCGATAATAGGCGGGTGCGCAGTGATTGGAGTGCCCCTGTTGAGCGAGTTGGCTTGTGCCGCCGAAGTTCCTACTGCGATTCCAGCGCCAACTCCGGGGCCGGGTGAAACAGTATCTCCGGCGGACCCCCGTATTGAAGCTGGCCCGGTGGAATTCACGAGTGCCGCCACCACTGTAATGGGGTATTTGTCTCGACCCAGGGAAGGAGGGCCCAACCCGGCAGTCCTGGTCATTCACGAAAATCGGGGCATGCAGCCCCATTTCCCCGACATTGCCCGGCGATATGCATTACAAGGATATACGGCACTCAGCGTTGACTTGCTTTCGCGGCAGGGTGGGACCGGAGCTTTTGCTGACAGTAACCAGGCTAGAGATGCGTTGCGTGGCATAGCCCAGGAAGACTTTGTGGCCGACCTGAACGCCAGTATTGACTACCTGCAGACGCTATCTCACGTCAGGACGGACCGGATCGGAGTAACCGGTTTCTGCTTTGGAGACGGGTTGACCTGGTTACTTCAGTGCGAAACCCAGAGATCGCGGCGGCAGTACCCTATTATGGGTCGGCACCGCCCCTTGATGAAGTCCCCAACCTGAACGCGCCGGTGCTGGGGATTTACGCTGGCGAGGACGCACGGATAAATGCCGGAGTCCCGGACCTGGAAGCTGCGCTGCAGGAGCACGGGAAGACCTATCAAGTAATTTCATACCGAGGAACCAGGCACGCATTCTTCAACGACACCGGCCAACGCTACCACAGGAAGCTTCTGCGGCAGCCTGGCGAGAAACCCTGGCCTGGTTCGACCAGCACTTGAAGTCCTGAAGTGTTGAGATACGAGCCAGGTTTATTCACTCTTGTCCGAGGTGACAATTGACCGAACTGATTGACCTGACCCTGACCCTGGGCAGTGACCGAGTGGTAGCTGTGCCGGGCCTTATCGGCGTATGCACGGAACCGCTGCACACTCATGAGAGTCATGCCAGGTCCAATACCAAGCTGACCCTGGCTACCCACATCGGTACCCACGTCGATGCTCCATACCACTTTCACGCCGACGGTACTACGGTAGAGAATATGCCGCTGAACCGTTACATGGGGTCGGCGTTGCTGCTGGATCTGCGTACGGTGGCGAAGGGTCTGGCGCCCCTGTCTGTGTCCGACCTGCAAAGTGCCGGTGGCATTCCGGAGGCGGTGCAGGACAAGATTGTGGTGCTGTTTACCGGGTGGGCCGCCGCCGAATCGGGCGGTGTGCACTTTTACTCGCAGGGGCCGTACCTGAGCACCGAGGGGGCTGAGTACCTGGCCGATAACGGCGTCAACGCTGTGTCCGTGGACTTCCCCATAGACAAGCATCCGCCGACACCCCAATCTACCATCCACGACTTTCCGGTGCACCGCCACTTGTTGGGGAGAGGGATTCCCCTGATAGAGAACCTGATCAACCTGGACCAACTGGTGGGCAAGGAGTTCGAGCTTTGGGCCTTGCCCATCAAGCTTAAGGATGGCGACGGCGCGGCGGCTCGGGCCGTGGCCCGCATCCTTTAGCCTCTGCTGACCTAGAGTGCCTGTTTCGGACGACAGAACTCCTATCTTGCTGGCCACCGGCAATTCTGCCAAGCAGGAAGCATTGCGCCAGCTTTTGGAGGGCTTCCTCTTACTCCCGTTACTCCTGAAGAACTCGGTCTTTCGGCCGACCCCGAAGAAACGGGCGAAACCCACGAGGCGATTGCCTTGGAAAGGCCCAGGAGTGGTCTCTCCTGGCGGGAATGCTGGCAATTGCTTCAGATGGCGGCCTGGTAGTGCCCGCACTGGGCCATAACTGGGAGAGCCGTTATACCCACCGTTTTGCCGGCCCTGCTGCGGATGATGACGAGCGTCGGCGACGCCTGCTGGAACTGATGCAATCCGTCACCGATTCGGAACGTGACGCTTCCTGGGTGGAAGCCCTGGCACTGGCTGATTCGGGTCGCCCCCTCAAGTCGTGGGAACTGAAGGGAGGCAGCGGCATCATTGCCGAGGCGCCTGAACCGGGGACACTTGCGCCGGGGTTCTGGGTGTTCACCCTGTGGTATTTCCCGAATTTGGGCAAGTACTACAATCAACTGACGGATCGGGAGAAAGAATCCCTGGGTGACCACTGGGCTACGTTGGGGAAGTTGGTGCAGCGATTCTTCCTGGAGGAGTTTCCGGCTCTTGGGTAAAGACTCGGCGGGTGAATTAGCCAACTCGATGGGATACAATGGGGCATTCCACAATACCTAAGCGAGATTTGAATCTCGCAGTCTCGGCTAACTGAATGTTTGGAGAGCCTGCCTTGACCACAACTACTCCCGAACTTGCTTCAATAGACCAGGTGCAGAACCTCTTGCGCGACCAACAGTATGTGGCCGACCGGGGTCTGGCGGTGGCAATCTACCTGGCGCTGACTTTGCAGCGGCCTCTTTTCCTGGAAGGGGAGGCCGGCGTCGGCAAGACTGAGATAGCCCGTTCCCTGGCCAAGGGTTTGGGGACCGAACTCATCCGGCTCCAGTGCTACGAGGGGTTGGACGTGAACCAGGCCGTCTACGAGTGGAACCACGCCCGCCAGATGCTGGAAATCCGGCTGCTGGAGGCTTCCGGCGACATTGACCGGACCTCGGCCACGGAGGACCTGTTCAGCGAGCGGTTCCTCATCAAACGCCCGCTGCTCCAGGCCATAGATGAGAGCCGTGACAAGTCTCCGGTTTTGCTGATTGATGAACTGGATCGGGCTGACGAAGAGTTTGAAGGATTCCTGCTGGAGATGCTGGCCGATTTCCAGATAACAATTCCAGAGCTGGGAACGTACCGGGCAGTCCATCCGCCTGTAGTCATCATCACTTCCAACCGCACAAGGGAGATTCATGATGCCCTTAAGCGCCGGTGCCTCTATTACTGGATTGACTATCCCGACTTTCAGAAGGAGTTGCAGATAGTCAGCACCAAGATGCCTGAAGCGCCGAGACGGCTGGCGCAGCAGGTTACCGGATTCATCCAGGAACTGCGGGAGACGGAGCTTTACAAGATACCCGGCGTATCCGAGACCATTGACTGGACAGCGGCACTTCTGGCTCTCAACCAGACGGAACTGGATGCGCAGGTAATAGACGATACGCTGGGCATAATGCTCAAGTACCAGGACGATATCGAGCTGATCAAGGGTGAGCCGGTGCGCAACATTCTGGAGCGTTCGCTGAACCGGGGGCCCCGCAGGGGTGGCCGTGGCGGCTAGGTATAGGCCCAGACTTAGGTTAGCAGCCCTCCGTTCCGGTTCTTTGAAACTTCCAGATATGAGCCCCAAGGCAGGTACATGACCCAGGAAGCCTCCACTAACAATGGCGCCCAACATACTGACGACGAAGGTCATATCCTCCATAACGTGATGCTGTTCGGGGAGACCTTGCGCCGGCTGGGGCTGGACTTTGGGTCAGGCAATATGCTGGACCTGATCAAGGCCACCGAAACTATCCCCATCGGACGCAGGCAGGACTTCCGGAACGCGGCCCGGTGCCTTTTGGTACACCGTAAGCAGGACTTCCCCCTCTTTGACGACGCCTTCCAGATCTTCTGGCGGCGGCCGGCCCATGGACTGAGCAATCGCGACCTGCGCAGCATGGGTGAAGAACGCCGCTACCGGAATCCCCAAGTCGGCCCACCGGCCACTGCGGATGAAGAGGCCGGAGACCTTTCGGGCAATGCTCCCGAAGGCCAGCCCGGATCGATATGAGCCAGACGTACAGCGCGCGGGAAGTGCTGCGGGAGAAAGACTTCGCAGACTACACTCCGCTGGAAATTGCCCAGGCCAGGACGATGATGTCGGGCCTGTCGTGGGACCTGGGCCGACGCAAGACACGCCGGACCCGGACGGGCGATGGCGTCGCCCTGGACTGGCGGAATACATTTCGCCGTAACCTGAAGTATGGCGGCGAATTACTGGAGCTTTCCCACCGCCAACCCAAGGACAAGACCCGTCCGCTGGTGCTGATCTGCGACGTCAGCGGCTCCATGGAACGCTATACGCGCCTGTTGCTGCACTTCATCCACACCATCGCCGGCGACCTGGGCAGGGTGGAAGCATTCCTGTTCGCTACTCGGCTTACTCGCATCACCCGCTTTCTCAACTACCGAAGTATCGACCAGGCAGTGAACGAGGTGGCCCGAGCCGTGCCGGACTGGGCCGGGGGCACCCGAATTGGCGAGGCGGTCAAGACGTTTAACTATTCCTGGGCCCGCCGTACGCTAGGCAACGGGCCGGTGGTGCTCATAATTTCCGACGGTTGGGACCGGGGAGAACCAGAGCTGCTCTCCCGAGAAATGTCCCGGCTGCAACGAAGCTGTCATCGGCTGATCTGGGTGAATCCTTTGCTGGGGTCTCCCAACTACCAACCCCTTACCCAGGGTATTCGGGCGGCATTGCCATACGTGGACGACTTCCTTCCGGTCCACAACCTCAACAGCCTGGAAGCCCTGGCGCTCCACCTGAACCGATTGCCCCAGCGCAAGCAGCCGGCCGCTGCCTACCGCCGGTCGCGTGCCGCTGAACAGGACGAAGTGGTAGTAGCCAGCCCCCCTTCGCGACGGCGCGAGGACATGAACCCCGCCCTGGCGCCCACCTTCCGCCACCCCCTTTGGGGCCAGATACCGCCAGCCTAGTCTCAACGAAAGTTAGGAGCAGGCGGCGGGGCTCTACTAGCGTTCCGTGTCTCGAGACCTGAAGCCGAGCAATAGCGGTAACGCGAGCAGTCGATCGCGGAAGGGAACTCTTGCCCGCCAGAGTTGCCACG